ATTTTAGATCTTAATATTTTCAAAATTTTTGTTTCTAAGGTCCACCTTCATCTAAACTAAAATATGCAATGAATTAGACCCACATTGTATCAAAGTTTCATTAATGGATGTGAGGTGAACTAAAAATTACAGTAATTCTATTATCTATTAAAAATCCTTGATGCTTTAAATTAGACTTAGTTTAGATTCTTCATTTTCTTAAGAGGAAAAATCTTAGTTATTGAAGTCATGATCTTTTAATTTTCTTAAGACATCTGAAATTTATCTCATATCATTTCTAACTACAGACAATTTCTATTCTTTATCAGCTTGGGTGATATTCTCTACTTGTTGTAAGATTTAGGATTCTAAATGTTGTTGATTTTAATTATCAGAAAGATATCCTATACAATCTACAATCTTCTCCTTTCTTAATATTTCTAATATGGCCCTAAATATTTGGATATCAACATCTTTTATTTCATCAAAGATGTCAGCTAGAGCTTCTTTCTTTTAAGAAGAACTCTACATTTTCTTTTTTATTTTTAATAATGAATTTCTATTACTCTAACTTAAAGTAATATAATGTAAAATCAATAAAAGTATCTTGTGCATTTCTATAAAATAGAAGTTCAGACTTTGTACAGATTTCAAATTGATTATAATAGATATAGAATAATCTATTTCAACATATGCATTGCTTAATTTTGTTTACTATACAATAAATAATTTTTACTTGATTTGAGTTATATAACTGATTAATTCACTTTTCTTATTAATCCTTGCTTTAGAGCATAAATTTTAATTTTTAATCTAACTATCAAGAGAATGGAAAATATTGGAATATATCTTAACAAAAAATAATGCCCTTAAATATTAAGGTATTTGATAATCTCAAAATTAATTGATAATCTCAAAACTAATTGATAATTTGATAAAAATAGTTTTTTTTAAAGTCATTATTTTCTTATCTTTAAAAAAGGATTAATTAAAATTCTTTAAAATATTTATTGTTTTACTTAGAATTATTCAAATAGTTTTTGGTATATTTAAGCGAACCAAAATGTATCACTTACTATGAATTTAAATTATCTTTCATATGTTGATTTTATTTAATAAGGATGGATATAAATTCATTGGTTTGGATCTTCAGAAATTTATAATTTCTTAATGTACTAAAATTGTTGATAATTTCAAAAATATTTCAATAAGTAGAAGAAGAATGCAAGCTACTATACGTAATATTCTTGCCTGAATATTTATTTCTCTTTAAAATCATCTTGAAGATAAAAGTGTTTCTATATTTCCGATTCTTTAAATAGATATATACATTATGTCAATAGTTTTTTATATACAATTTAAAAAAGAACTTAAAGTTTGCTGAAAGTTGCATTTTCAATCTATTTGTGTTTCTAGAAACCACATTAGAAAATCAGTAATTTAGACAACAACCCCTTCTAATTTGAAAATAAATGAGCTAAAATAAGATGAAATACTTTTGATGTCAATTAATAAATAATAATAACAATTTTTTTAACTTTGTTATTTTTAAATCCTTGATGTATCTTTTTTCTTATCTTTCTTATTAAATGTATAATTTCCTATTTAAAACTAAAAACTAAATTTTACAAAACCGTTAATAATAATTTTTAAGATTAATCCTGCTTTTTAAATCGTAATAAATTAAGTAAATCCATAATATAATATCCTAAATGAATTATAAAAGAATGTTGTGTTAAATAAGTTTTCTTTAAAGTAAGGATATCACTCTTTATTCTGATCTTTTAATTGTGCTCTCTATTCTCTGTTTAGATTATCAATTAAATGTAGCATCATTTAAATTTAAATCAATATAAATATTAATTGATAACAGTTTATGAAATTAAAATAAATAATCCCTATAATTGGGAGATTTGGAATAAAACTTTGGAAAATATATACTTACCTATCTAATAAGTTAAGATAATGAGCAGACTGATAAAGAAATAGTTAAACAAATATTCGATATTGATTGTAATTATAATTATGATTGTATTTGATAATAATCAAAATGACTTTTACTAAAAGTCTTCTAAAAAGCAACTTCCTTTTGATTTGAATAAAGGTTTTAAATCTTTCCCTTAATGATTAATAAATTCTCTTTACAAAATAAGTGTTCCATATGATTCCAATGTCTAATCCCAAAAGACAATGAGTCTTAATATAGCGAAAAAAAAATTCCTTTTTTAAATTGGGACATTCTAACTTTTGCTTTTGTAGCATTTATTGTTCATCAATTAAAATAAGCAGAATTTAAGAAATAAAATTGTGAAAAATTTCAATGCCCTCTATGTTAAAATGAATTAAAAAAAATTTAGTTCTAATTTAATTTATCAATGAATTCATTTTTTATGATGCTAGAAAATATTAGAAGTGAGCCAAATAACTTGTTCTTATAATAGGGAAAAGAATACTTACTCGACAATTTCAAGAATTTATGGAAATATATAATTGATATAATATCTTGTATATAGATTATTAATATAAATAAAAGAAATATGAATATTTTACAATAAAAATAAAGTTAAGATGTTTAAGAGACAATTTGTAAGAGTCATAATTTAGAATTGATTGCTGTTGATTTAGACATGTCAGATAAATCATAAATAAATTTTTTTTGTGGTAAATGTTTAGTAGATAAATTAAATAATAATAAAGTGANACATTTAATATAAATTAAATTTTAGTCTCAAATTTTTAAACTTCATATTATAGAATCTGGGGCTGTTATTTAGGTTAAAATTGTATTCAATGGAATGGCAGTTCTCTATCAAATACTGCTAAATTAAAATTATAAAGATTTTATTGAAGTAGTTAAATTTAGATCAATTCTAACCTTCAACAATATATTCTATGTGAAGACTCAAACTTAATTTATTTTAGTTTAAAATTTTAGTTAGAAAAAAGATTTACTTATATCTCTTTGATTACGTATAATTTTATCAATAGAATTTCAATTTAAAAATTAAAATTAAAAAAATGGTCTTACATAACAAATTTTCAATTTTACTTAGGTGGAGGTATTCTGTATACGAAGGAATAGTTAAATCTTCAAAGATATTAACATGAAAATGACAGAGTAGAAATTTAATGTTCGATTTATCATTCAATCGATTTATGTTAAAATCATAGATTCTTTCAGATTTTCAATTAACAATTTTCAGTAAAGATTCACCTAAAAATATTTTCTATTTAGGATTCCTCATCTAAATTCAGAAGTTCTATTATTTACTAAAATTTGCTGAAGCCTGCTTAATCTGATAATCTAAGCGTAATTAAGAGGTTATATACTTATAAAATGAATTTAGTTTTTGGAAAAATATATGAAATTAAGCAAGGAGTTTTAAGAGTAGAATCTTCCTATTGGAATAATAGCTTTAGTATTTAAATTTGTAAATTTAGATATTTAGCCAAAATGAATTGTATCAAGTCCTATATTAAATTAAAACTTTATGGAATGTTAGATATGTAGGGATATTATTTAATTGCAATAATCAATATAATATTCTATATAGGCTGGAATAATGTCTACCTTAAATAATCAAATGGTAGATATTAAGCATTTTCTTGACTTATAATAGTTTATGAAGTTTAAAAATCCTGCAAATTACCAATTATGATCTAAAATTATTAAGAATGTTGTACTTTACATATCTGGAAGCTTAGGAAGATCAAATTTATAAAATTGCACAAAACTTTTTGATTTACTTTTTTATCTGTAATAAATTTTAATTATATGTGTATTTTAGCTGGTCAGATTTATTATGATGAATACAAGTTTATATATATATATATAATTATAATAGATATAATATCTTGTATATAGATTATTAATATAAATAAAAGAAATATGAATATTTTACAATAAAAATAAAGTTAAGATGTTTAAGAGACAATTTGTAAGAGTCATAATTTAGAATTGATTGCTGTTGATTTAGACATGTCAGATAAATCATAAATAAATTTTTTTTGTGGTAAATGTTTAGTAGATAAATTAAATAATAATAAAGTGACAACTATTGAATAATCAAAAGAAAGAATTTAATAAATTAAGAATTAATAATAAGAAATTAAAAGTAAAGAGAATCAAGCAAGACTTAATTATTATAAGAATATTTTAGATTAAATAATGGAATTTAAAAGATCTATAGATGATTCTTTAGAAAAGATAAGTAAATAAATTTAATAATACATGTTTCCAATCTAAAAGGAAAAAAAAGAATTATAAGAAAATTTAAATTAATTGAATTATTTTGAAGATATCAAATAATTATCAGAATTATATTCAATAGATTAATAAAAATCAATTAAATTAATAGAAGATAATATATTTATAGATGAATTAATAAGATAATTTGAATTATTATTTAATAATGCTGAATATTATTAAACTTTAGACATATTCAAAAATACAAAATAAACAATTTAAGATATAATGGAAAATAATATTATTGAATTGCCACCATTATTATAAACAAAAAATGAATTTGTAAATAATTATATATATAAATTAAAATAGAAAACACCAAGTTTAAGTAGAATTTGTTTAAATCATAAAAAAGAAATAATAATGATTGATATGGATACTGAAAATAAGAAAATTGAAGATAGATTAGTTTGTGTTGATTGTATATCTGAGAATCCATTAAT